GGGAAAAAAACACATAGGTACCAAATTAAAAATTGAGAGAAAGTATAGGTACCTCCAATATGGTTTTCCCTTACCAAAAAGTAGAAGACTTGTGGAAATCTTGACTTGCTTTTCTTTTCTTCTGGCCACTATTTCTATTGCAACATCCTTAGCTTCTTCTTCTATCTCTTTCTCTTGCACTTTGCTACTGCGTGATTCTGCAAACTGCTTCTTCCTCCTCCTTCATCCTTGGCTCTCTTGCAGAGTTATTTCCTCCAAACTGCAACAACCAACATAAATGGAGTTTGGGATCTCAATCTCTAAACTTTTATATCTTTTCTTATTTGGATGCTTCGTTTTGAAAGCTTTCACGAACTATGGATCTGATGCTCAACTCATACCAGAAGATGAAGGTTTCTTAATTAACCTCTTTCTATCTGTCTTACTCCTTAGTATACACTATATTACTCTATTAAGCGTTATGATCGATTCTTCCGTTTCCATTTGTTTTCTTACTGTTTAAAGAAAATTACACAAAAGAAAGGGTCAACCTGGTGGTTGACGCTTCCCTCTTCTTGAAAAAAAATACTGCTGTAACTTTTGAGACTTGATCCTTCATTTTTTTCCCTCCGAGAAGGGAAGTAAATAATTAAATTGATCCGAATGTTTTCTTTCTTTCTTTTTTCCTTTTTTTTTTTGGCCAATAAGATTCCAATGGTTGAAAACTATAATGACTTATTTTATTCATTTATTTGTCAATGCTTTGATTTAATGCTAAGAATAAATTCACTCTTCTCGTTTACACAGTTAGGTTATTTAACGACAAACATATCCCATGCAAAGAACCAAGTAATCGATCATATTTTTTTGGCAACCCGGATAGATGAATAAAGCTTAGTGATCTCTTTTGCATGCACATAATATGATAGAAAATTATGTTTTATCAACTACTTGTTATGTATTAGTACAAAATATTTTATTAGCGTAATTTATATGATTGTTATAATTTCTGAATATTAATTCTCACACCCATGAAACTGAAATAAAATACACAATCTACTCTTCTGATTTTAAATATAATACCTATTATTTTGTGGTGTTTAAACTCATTCTCTCTTTCCATAACACTCAATTCAATTTGATTTTTCATACTATTACTATATATTGTATTCGCTGCAGTCTTCTCGTATTTATAATTTATAAAATGTGTTGATAGATTAAATAAAACAAACCAGAAAAGTTCTGAAAAATTATATTAATTATTTTTAATGGTTTTATATATTTCGAGGTATATCATTATAAAGAGAATATAAAAGCTATGATTTAATTAATAATTTGAAAACTTGTAAACCATAGTTATAAAAATGATAAAATATATAATTATATTATTGTATATTAAATAGGCTAAAACACGTAAAACTTCCCTAACTTCGAGTCAGTTGCATTTCACACCCCTAACTTTGAGTCATGTTTTGAATCTCAACTCTCCTACTGTTAAAATTACCGTTAAAGTTAACGGTTTTTAACATGTCACAATTTTTTATTATATACCATTTCGTTTTAAAAAAAAATATTTGGTGTTTGAAATAAATATTTTAAGTATTTTCTACCTTTTTATTTTAAAAAGACATTGTCAAATAAATATTTTATTAAAATGAAATGGCATATAATAATAAAAAAATGGCATGACGAAAACCGTTAATTTTAATGGTAGGGGAACTGATAGTCAGAACATGAAATATCAAGGTCATTAGTTTAAATTTTTAAAGGTTAGGGAGGTGATGTGTGGCTGACATAAAGTTTAGGAAGTTTTATGTATTTTAACCTATTAAAAATATTTTTATGTTTAGTTTCCGATGCTTATTAGGAAAAAAGTGATTTTTAGGCATTACTGATGCTGTTCTGGATCAGAAGACATTTCTTAATCAATATAAGAATAAAAAACAAACAACGTAGATATATATTTACTACGACTTAAGTTTATAGCCTAAGCCTTTATTAGCGTTTTAAATTGAATTTGAACCAGCTTTGCATGATCCATATGTTGGAGAAGTTCATCAATATGAATGCGTGTCAAAATTAAACAAAGTGGGCCACGGCAAGTACTTTGAAATTTCTTTATATAGAAAAGGTTCACAGATGTCTATGAACAGAAAATATCGATGTTGAGGTTCTTACTTTATGGTGCATGATTTTTATTTTTTAAAAAACTGAATTGTGTTTGATGCAGTGAAAGTTCTAAAAACAATATCATCGAAGATAGAGAACTTGAATTGGAATGCGACCCCGCATTCTTGTGTCGATGGGGGCTTCAGAAATGAGACCATTGGTACAGCGAATAGCTTCATAAGGAATGTAACATGCAATTGCAGTTTCTCAAATGGAAAAGTTTGTCATGTTACAAATATGTAAGTGCATCTATGTATATGGTTATAACGTAAGCCTTTCAATTTGGGTACGAATCAAGCTCCAATCTGAATTAATAAGTTGTGTATAATGAGTTCCAAATAATGTCGACAAGTTTTCTTTATTGTTTTTTTGTTCCTTTCTTGATTTGAAACTAGTTGATTTGATATTGAGATACATTCCTATGATATTTAGAATAAGTTAGGTCTAGCCGCGTCGCAATAAAATTAATATTCAAATGCATATTGGTGGTTTTTTTTTTGCCAACATATTGGGGCTAATTATAACACAACTTATTTTATTTTAGCTCTATGCAAATAGTTGTAGTAATGTGTTTTCTTTTTATGATAGCGTTGCTAGGGGTCACAATTTATCGGGACTTTTACCAAGTGAATTTGGATTCCTTACCTCTCTGCAAGAACTGTAAGTAATGAAAATTTTTTAATTCTATTATTGGTTTAAATATATATATATATATATATATATGTGTGTGTGTATGCTTAGTTGAAATGTGGGAATTTGTTATCTACAATATAACTTGTATATATGGCACAGTGATTTGTCTTACAATTATCTAAATGGATCAATCCCAAGGAGCTTTGCCAGACTCCCTCTTGTCGCATTGTAAGTGATCATAGAGTTGTGAATGAATATATATATGGTTATTTTCAGGTATGTTATTCATGCATGCATCTATACAAGCTCGAATTATATTGACTACATGTATTATTCCTCTTTTAAACACATGTCTTAGATACCTTACGGCTAACCCAATTAGTGGCCCGATCCCAGACGAAATTGGTGAAATTACAACTTTAGAGGTTTTGTAAGTACAAATCATTACATTTTGAGTTTTATAACTTGTTGTTGTATTGAGAAATAATTTTATGGTTTTGCTACTTTCTATAGAAGGTTGAATGATAATCTAATGGAAGGGACTCTTCCTTCTAGTCTCGGAAAATTGACACAGCTACGCAGATTGTAAGAATATTATTTCAAGTGCAAATAATTTTCTTTTATCTTATTTGTTGCATTGTGACTACCACATTAGTGTTGTTATAGATAATTTTTCATACTGCTTTTAGATGTATTATCTGTTTCTAAGGATTTGAAACTTGTAGGGATCTTTCTGGAAATAACTTCTTAGGGGCAATACCTGAAAGTTTTGGTAATCTGAACAAACTAGAATATATGTGAGTGGTATAATATGATTTATTCATTTCATTATATTTTATTTTTGATGTTGTGTTGATCTCTTTTAAATTCTAAAATTTTTCTCCTAACACTTGTGTAGCTATTTAGATGGCACCAACATATCAGGAAAATTACCCAATTTTATTGGGAACTGGACCCACCTCCGAGTAACATGAGTCTAATATACTCTCTATCATAATGCTTTCCTTTTAAATAAGATGCTACTTTATGAACTTAATGTATCGAACTTAATAAGCTTAATGAAGTTCAGTGCTTTTATTTTCATTTATTCTTCTATTCTATTATATTGTCCTATTTAGTTTGTTGGAAATTGTTGAAAACAAAGAAAGAAGGGAGAATTATTATAGTACTCCAATAAAAGCATGTAATCACTAAAAATTCAAACAACAACAATTAAAGGACTTGTAGTGATAAGATTTATGTTGATCACTTGTCATTTAGATTTATTAGTAAAGGATGGGGGGTTGCGTAATTTATAATCTAATCAGTTGTTAATAACTAGTTAAATTCTCAATAGCAGTGGATGAGAGAAGAAAAATTATCTATGTGGGAGATATTCATGGAGTGAAAATAAGGAACAAAATTGGACCGAGATATGATTATGTATGTTAGTCCAGGCTAAGTAAGTAAATAAATAAAATAAAATAAAATAATGCAATAATTTTAATTTTTCAATTAAAATCATTCCAAACAAACAAAAAGACTTTATGGACCGGGCTTTTTAAGTATTTCCTTTACTTTCAAAATTACTGTTTTCACTACGTCTTTTGTTTGGGCAGGTCTTTGCTGGGAACATCCATGGAAGGCCCCATTCCCACAGCCATATCTCACTTAGCAAATTTGTCAACTTTGTGAGTACTTGTTCTTTTGTAATTCATTCGCACACTGTTTGATGGTTATGAAATTTAATTTCAATAGAAGAATATTTTCCTATTGTTGATACCATTTTGTATTTAATTTTTAATTCAGGATAATATCTGATTTGCATGGACCAGTGATAATAAAATTTCCTAATCTGGAGAATTTGACGTCCTTGCAATACCTGTAAGTTGAGAATTTAATAGTGAGGTGAAAATTTGTTTGTCGAAAATGAGCTATATATTATTCTCAATGAATTTTCATACTTTGTTTTTATCTCAGGGTGTTGAGAAATTGCTCCATCCATGATTCCATTCCAAATTATATTGGTAAAATGGAAAAATTATCTATCCTGTAAGTTCCTTCATCCTCATACTACGAATCCAAAATCCTCTAAATAATATTCCCAATTAAATGTTTAATTCACAACCTAATTCCTAATTTAGGGCTACTTACTTTTATTGTGGACTATTTATTACAAAAAATATTATTTTTCAGTTATTTTACGAAGCAATATTTGTGACCCTGTGTATTAATTGCAGAGATTTGAGCTTCAACAGGTTGACTGGTAAAATCCCAAATAGTATAAGTAACCCGACCTCCCTTCAATACATGTAAGGGAGCATTGTACACACGTAGATAACTTGATTTTTTTTTTGGAACTAATTACTCTTTTTTAATGGATTTTTATTTATTATGTATGCAGGATTCTAACTGAAAATTCTCTGACCGGAAAAATTCCTGATTGGATATTGCAACAACAAAACAATTATGGTTCTTTGTTAGTAAAACATTTTTTATTTTAATTTTATTTGTCATTACTACATATATCAGTTCAATGCCATTACTATTTGAAATTAATTACCGTAAATTTTGTTGACAAAAACATCTTTAGCCTTTAAATCTCTCGTCATTTTTAATTAATCCCCTTTCCATAATGTCATCTTGATTTGAACTTTGACATATAAAAAAATTTAGGAGAATTGCTTTGAAATCTCAAAGAAGGATCAAGCAGCATGCAATGATAAGTTTCAATATAAAAAATGATAATTGTTCACTTATCACTGGGACTTTATAGTAATTTTCTTCCTTGAGATGCTATATTAAAATTTTAATCTGCACAATTTTCTACACGCACTACTTTTGATTAAACTATCTTGATAATTCAAGATGTCTAAAACTTGTATGACCATTCCTTTACCTTATTTTCTTAAGTTTTTTAATCTTCATGTGTAATTTCACACTACTTTCTATTGCAGTGATTTATCTTACAACAATTTTTCGGAGACTTCTGCGACTACTTGTCAGTATGAAAATTTGTAAGCTCCTCACCTCCAACCTAAAACAATGTTTTTCTTGTTCTTGAAGGCATCACACAGCAACTCTAAGCCTTTTGTTTTTTTGGTTATACAGAAACTTGGCTTTGAGTGTATCATCTTCAGCAAACACCTCGTAAGATTATACTTATGGCTATCTTGTTTCCCTTATTCTAAATGCTTTTGATTCATATTTTGTGATCTTTATTCATCTTGCAGATGTACTTGCCTGAAAAGGAGCCTTCCTTGTGGAGGAAAACCCAAGTGTGAGTGCTTAGTTAAACTTTTGTACATCAATGTTTTCTTGCTTGTTTGAGAGTTTCCCATGGTATTATCTTTTTCTGATTCTATTTTATTTTCCCATCATGAACCCTTTCAAGAGTTTTAACTAAATAATGTAGATTTTAGTGAACGTAACAGTGAAATGACTATCAATGTCATGTGACAATGTATATATAGATCATGATCTTATGAATTTGATCATTTGGATTCTCTTATAGAGGTGATTTTTGATGAGGTTGTCCCTATGTATGCAGATCATTCATTGTTCATAAACTGTGGAGGATCAGAAACTAAATATGAGGGGAATAAATATGAAGGCGACGTCAATTCTGAGAGTGTCTCATTCTCTTGCCCTAGTGATGATAAATGGGCTTATAGCACCACAGAAGGAGAAAGATCCTATAATCACATAGCAACAAACAGTTTTTCCCTCAACATTACTGGTCCTGACTTCTACCAAACAGCTCGCCTTTCCCCTTTGTCTCTCAAGTACCATGGCCTCTGCATGATTAATGGAAATTACAACGTCAAGCTATATTTTGCTGAGATTATGTTTTCTTATGACCAAAATTTCCATCACGTTGGAAGGCGCATATTTGATGTTTCAATCCAAGTGAGTCTCACTATGTTGAATTTAAATTTTTTTTCCAGTGATTAGAGGATTCAATGATGAGAAAATAAGACTCTCCATCCATGCAACCATATAGATGAAGAGAAATAAATATTGTGGCACATGTCACTATCAAGTGAACTTACCACTATATTTATGTGTCTCTTTAAATGGTGGCTAAATAGCTAATTATAAAGACCAGCCCTATCCATGGCAAGACTTAAGGTCTCATTTTGTATGAATTATTAAAAATGAGGGGTAAGAATTAGGATTGGGTTTAAGATACCATTAAAAATTATTTAATATGAGTAATTTCTTATTACATGCAATTAGATAATCTCATGTAGGTGAGAATAGGGAATATCACCTCTCCCCATGGTATTCCACAATCCTATATATATGAATTTGTTTAATTCTAAGTAACAAATAATCACTCATACTAAATACTTTTTTAACATTTTTTTTCAATCTCAATACCAATCCTTACTCCTTATTTTTAAGACTTCGTACCAAACAAGACCCAAATGCTATGTGAATTCCATTAATATCTCTCCCTCACACACATAAATGAACTCTTACTATATATACTTATCTAGTCCTATTTATAAGCTAGAGAGAGAAAAATTTTCTTTGTCCTATTTATAAGTCACTTCATTAAATTTTTAATATGAATGTACTATTTTGTCCTTCATTTATAGTGTAGATAGTTATGTTTTTCGAACATTATCTATATTAAATAGATGAAAAGTTGGAAATTTGTTATATTTTAATGAAAAACTAATGCAGTTTAAGATTTTTCTTAATCTGTATGAAATATATTACAAGTGCCTTAATGATTTAACATGCTTTCAACTGTTTTTGCTATGTACGTTAATAGAAGTTCTGGAAGGTAAAACCATTTTATGTATATCTTGACAGGGTAGAAAATATTTGCATGATTTCAACATTATGAGGGAAGCTGGGGGCGTTGGTAAGGGCATTGTCAAGAACTTTAATGTTGATGTTAATGATAACACCTTGGAGATTCATTTGTACTGGGCTGGAAAAGGAACTACCACTATTCCAAATTATGCTGTATATGGACCTCTTATATCTGCTATTTCAGTCACCCCAAGTAAGTCAAATCTCATATTTACTGGTTTACACTCTTTCTAGCTTAAGCTAAGAGATGACGATTTTGACTTTGATATGAATCGTAACTACTACTACTTTTTTGTCATGAAGATTTCAAAATCCCTTGGAGTTCTGGTGGAGCTATTGCTGGAATTGTGGTTGGATCATTTGTGTTCCTCATCATACTAATAATAATATTCGTCCTCCGAAAAATGGGCTTACTAGGTGACAGAGATTCAAAAGCCAAACGTAAGATCAAAATAAAAAATAATAAAGCTTCTATATCTATTGATAATTTGGTATAATATAGTAAAAAAAGATTTTTTTTATATGCCTAAATTCTATCATGCAAGTCAAATGGATAAATAATGATTTTTGCATATACGTAATTATTTCTAAGTTTCTTATAATTTCAATGTATTTTGCTTTATATTTATATAACTTTTATTTTTGATGCAGAATTTTTAGATCTAAAAACAGGTTATTTTTCTTTAAAACAAATCAAAGATGCCACTAATAACTTTGTCCCAGAAAATAAGATTGGTGAAGGAGGTTTCGGACCGGTGTACAAGGTAATTTTTAGTGTATCATATTTATCTTTAACTAATATTACATAATTGAATACACTTATAAAGAGATTATATCTTTAAGCGATAATAATTTTGCTTAAGAAAGATTATAAAAGTTGAGACTAAAGGGTAAACTGAATTGCAGGGTACACTATCAAATGGTGTTGTCATAGCTGTAAAACAGCTTTCCTCTAAATCAAAGCAAGGGAATCGTGAATTTGTTAATGAAATTGGAATGATTTCTGCTTTGCAACACCCAAATCTCGTAAAGCTTTATGGATGTTGCGTTGAAGGAAATCAATTGTTGCTGATATATGAGTACATGGAGAATAATAGTCTTGCTAGTGCTCTTTTTGGTAAGAACTTGAATTCTTCACAATAAAACATTACCATATGTGGTATTATATATAAGGAAAACATAAAATGATTGAGTATAAACGAATAAAATTGTTTTGATATACATTCTCTTATTGTGTGTGTTTGTGATAGTATTACATCACTATGACAAAAATGTAAAATCGTGCTTACATTATTTGCTAGCAAATTTTAGTTGTATCTTTATTTTTTAGAAGACATAATTTAGATGTTGTATTTTTGGCTTTTTTTTAATTCAAACATATTTTCTCATTTGAAACAACTTCTACAAATATTTAATTAATTTTTATTGAATGACTTGATAGCAATATGTTATTAATTAAGTTACCATTGATGTTAATGTTAGGTGGCCAAGGACAAAAGATACATTTGGACTGGCCTACACGAATGAAGATATGCATAGGAATAGCAAGAGGATTGGCTTATCTTCATGAGGAATCAAGGTTGAAAATTGTGCATAGGGATATTAAGGCAACAAATGTCTTGCTTGATAAGGATTTGAATGCCAAGATCTCAGATTTTGGATTAGCCAAGCTTGATGAAGATGAGAATACTCATATAAGCACAAGAATAGCAGGAACAATGTCAGTATATATTCTACTACACCTTCTTTACTAGATCGATATAATTCTCATATTTGGTTTAGTAATAAGATTAATAGGTTTTTTCTTCTTAGATTTTCCTTGCACATTCTTTGTTTTTTACTTGATTATTAACATTATATGTTTTTTTACTAGTGGTTATATGGCTCCTGAATATGCAATGCGAGGATACTTAACTGAGAAAGCAGATGTTTATAGTTTTGGAGTTGTTGCTTTAGAAATTGTTAGTGGAAAAAGCAACACAAGTTACAGGCCAAAAGAGGAGTTTGTTTATCTTCTTGACTGGGTTAGTTATTCTACTCATGCTTTGCATTAGTGAATGTTCAATATTCTTCATAAAATTAATGGTTTGATTGAATTTCTAACAAATGCATATACTTTCATGCAATTGAAGGCCTATGTTCTTCAAGAACAAGGAAACCTTCTTGAGCTGGTGGATACAAGTCTTGGTTCAAGCTACTCCTCAAAGGAAGCCATGAGAATGCTGGAGCTGGCACTCCTATGTACAAACCCATCTCCAACTTTGAGGCCATCCATGTCCTCTGTTGTTTGCATGCTTGAAGGAAAGTTGCCAATCCAAGCACTAACAATCAAACGTCAGGAGAGTGACCAACAGGTTGCGAGATTCAAGGCCTTTGAGATACTATCATCTCAAGAAAGCCATAGCCAAACCCTTAGTTTTTCTTCCACATCGAAGTCACATGAAAATGTGAAGCAAAAGGTTGAAGCAATGGATAGTGCATCATCACAATACAATCGTAGCAGTTAAACCTTTGCCGCTGCTGCATTCTCACAGGAAAGTGTGAAGAAAAGATTTAAAGTAATGGATGGCTCAATGGTTTGATTATATTCCTCTGTTTCTCTTCCATGTAATAAAGATTTCTCTTCATCTGGTAGGCTTCTTAAGAATTCCAACTCCATATGATTCGATCAGAATGTAGGCTACCAAACAAGCATGAAACTACAATGTTTCATAAACGAGTAGATATTATTCTCACAGGAAAGTGTGAAGAAAAGATTTAAAGTAATGGATGGCTCAATGGTTTGATTATATTCCTCTGTTTCTCTTCCATGTAATAAAGATTTCTCTTCATCTGGTAGGCTTCTTAAGAATTCCAACTCCATATGATTCGATCAGAATGTAGGCTAGCAAACAAGCATGAAACTACAATGTTTCATAAACGAGTAGATATTATTCAAAGAAAGGAAATCTAACATGAAGTGTGAAGAAGAATTTACATGTGCTAATTAGTTCCTCTCTTTTGAAGTTTAAATGTGATGTGTAATTAGTGTAACGCATAGCCTTGTCTTTATATGTATATAAATCTTGTTTTTAGTGAACTTCCTAATGCAAAATGCTAATTAATTCATTCTTGCTTAGTTTTCTCGTGATGATGGATAATAGGATTATTCAAACGAAGTTGCCAATCTTGAGAATTTTGTTTTTGGTAAAGAATGAGTGCCAAGCCCAATCACGAACCCATGACAAACCTTATTAGCTAAACGCCGTTTCATCTTCATATGTTTCTTCAACATCTCTTACCCTTCCCAGTAACCATGGATTTGGATGTCTGCTGCTCCCTCTTTGCTTCCTCTTAGTTTTTCATCACCTCCCAAATGTATTTTCTTGTTTTTTGTCACTAGATTCTATTAAAAATAATGACATTTTGATATTTTATAAACAAAAAATAACGTAGTTTTCAATTTTTTTTATGGTTTTTCAAATATGAAACTACATCATTTTAGAGTATTTTTTTCCTTTGAAAAATATAAAAAATTCAAAATTACACTATTTTACGTTCATAAGATTTTAAAATGTCATTCATTTTACAGAGAATTTGATGATAAAAAAAATGAGAAAATAATACTTTAAAAGTGGAAAAAAATTGAAAGACAATTGAAAGGAGGCAGCTGACACCTCACATTCAATAATTGTTTCTATCTTTGTTAGTCAAATTAAATACGGCAGTTGCTTCCCCATTCCTTAACCATGAACATCAAAAGCAAGAGTTGCACTTTAGACTGAAGAACCTAACAACATTAGAGTTTGGTGATGATTAAGAGGGAATAATCCTTTGAATTTCATTTGAATACAATGTTGGTCGTGGTACATAGTGGTATCCACGGGCTGAGAATAGTAATTGAAGGAGCAACAAGCTTTTTCTAGCTGATACAAGACTAATGGCTAATTTTTCTTTTGTAAGTAATTGAAATTCATCATCTCTTGCAAATTAAGAGGAAATACACAACAAAAACCTACAAATTTAAACTAAACATGATCATTGCAATTATTCACACCCGTGCTTTCCTTATTATTTAAGGACTGGCCATGTATGTACTAATACGTGAAGTTTCTTATGATAGTACTCTGTCTTTTGGTTTTAAATGGAAAACCCATTTTCACTACAAAACAAATCTTATATTTAGGACTGGAGGAGTAATAAATGAATTTTTTTCCCAAAAAAAAACCCAAAACAAAAAAAAAATGAGATGAGTAAGGAAGGATTCACCACAAAAGGCTTATAATTAGGAAAAGAGCAAAAGGAGTGACTTATGGTGTGGGGCCCACCTAGAGTTTACCTCAGACACCTAGGTCTCGTTTGATATAAAGCATTGAAAATGAGGGATAGAGATTATGATTGTAATTGAAAATAATCTATTAAAAGAATGACTACCATGAGAAATTGCTTGTACATGAGATTGGTCAAATTCATGTATATCGGATTCGAAAATACCATAGGGGAAGATGGTATTCTCCAATCCCACCTCCATGGGTTTGTCTAATTCTATGTAACAAACAATTACTCATGTTAAATACTTTGTTATGATTTTTTTCAATTACAATCATAGTTCCTAACCCTCATTTTCAATGCTTTATATTAAACAGAACCTTGGAGTTTAGACCATTTATGAGTGCTTTTTTTTCCCTAGCTATACTTACTTCAACGTTTCTATTTAGTAACAAAGGGAGCAAAATTACGCATCATAATTATTATTATTACTATTATGACTCTAAATTAACTTTGTATTTTTAGTAGTTTTTACCGCCATCATCTTTTAAATTAATAGAGTTTTATTTCCTCGTAATGTTTTTATCAAAAGAATTTATCAGGTCAAAAAAGATCAAAAGAATCTCTGAGACTCCCTGATGTAAGGAAGAAGACGAAAGGGATAAGCATTGTAAGGATAATCTGATATTTTAAAAAATATGATAAAATTAAATGCGTTTGAATGAAGAGAATGGAAATGGAAGTATTAGACGCGTTTATGGGTTAATATAATTTTTGATCTCTCAAGTTTTGTCTTATTTTGATTTTAGTCTCTCAAGTTTCAAATCATATGTTTTCATCTCTCAAGGGGCAAAATAGTCTAAGTTTTTATTAGATTATAGGGACTAATGTTTTAAATAAAAAAAAACTTGAAGGACCAAAACCTATGGTTTGAAATTTAAGGAACTAAAACCAAAATAAGGATAAACTTAAAGGACCAAAGTTTGTATTAAGCCCGCGTTTATTTCTATATTTTTGGATAAAAGAGTGTTAATTAGAGACCATCTGAAGATTCCGATCCTTAAATAATCGGGTCCCATCCCTGCATGTTGATTACACCATCACATACACATCTCATTTACACACTCGCATTTTTCTTTCATTTCTTTCCAATCAGTCATCCCCAGCCGTAAAAAATATTATTGATTCTCTCAGAGAAAGATAATGGCATCTTTCCACAATAATGAGTGAGTAAGTGCGAAGCAGAGAAAGATAATGCCCTCAAAATCGATGATAGAGTTGAAAAAAGAGAGAACCATTTCCATCGCAGTGGTACACACACACTGAAAGTGTAGTGTGATACAAATGTGAAAAGTAGAAGCATAGCCCCTCAAGGCCTAAATTCCCCCTCTCTGCCTTCTTCCTTCCTCATTCCCTTCTCTCACAGTGCCTCTCAATGCCCTTCATGTCTCTGACATCCCTTAGAATGCCTCCTTTTCCACCGGTTCGTTCTTCTTTATATATATATATATTCCCTATCCACCTCTTTCTATTTTCCTTCATTGTTTTTGTTATTTATTTATTTCATCACTACTTGTTCTCGTTACTCTCCCCCCATCTTGCTAATCTCTCCCTCACCTTCCACCGTTCCTCCCTGCGGGCTCTAAGCTTTCCTGTTTTTCCCTATTTAGCTCTCAGCACTTTCTGAGAGTTGATCTCCTCAGAAAAGTGGAGCTTTAGATTAGCTATTGAGAGATATCGGGAGAAGACTGGGCTTTTAAGGAGATCTACTCCCGGTTTTGACCCCACAACTAAGAGCATTATTGTTGTTCTTCGTTCTTCTTCTTCTTCTTCTTCTTTCCGGCAAATGTTGTTCTCCAGTATTTGATTCTTAATGGTTAATGCTACATTCTTTTGTTGTTAATTTTTCTTGGTTAGATGCTGTTCTTTATTTCTTGATGCTCTAGTCTTTTGTGCTTTTCTATGTTTCATATGAAGTGTTGTTTGTTTTTAGAGTTAATAACAAAACCTGAAAAATAAAAATACATGTTATGAACTAATAATGATATTTGGGTTCCTGGATGGAACCCTTTTCGTCTTCTTTTTTAATGAGGTTGTCACCACTCATGCAGATCATTCATTGTTTACTAACGTCAAGCTATATTTTGCTGACATTATGTATTCACATGACCAAAATTTCACCAGCATTGGAAGGTGTATATTTGATGCTTCAATTCAAGTGAGTGAATCTAAATTTTCTTCCGGTGATTAGAGAATCCAATGAAGAGTGAGAAAATAAGATCCTCTCCAGCCATGCAAAATGATTACTGATTTATATGATGATTCACTTCAATAAGCTGCTTTTGCTTTGTATGTTAATTAAAGTTCTTAAAAGTCTAAAACTTTTGTATGTATGTATATGTTGATAGTGTCACATCCCAAAAATTTTCATCTAGCAATAGAGGATCAAAAGTTGGAATGATAGTCAATGTAGGAACTAGACGGAGAGATGAAACAACTTTTGATATGAAACCCCGAAAAGGTCCGAATTGACATTTTCATAATCATCATTCTAGGAAGGGCAAAACGGAAAAATTTGAGAAAAAGTCTCCCTGAAAAATGGGAAAAGTGTAGAATAGAGGTTTTGGAAACTCTAATGAGGCTGAAAGGTGGAAATTTGGTAAAAATGAATTGTTACGGAATTTCCCGTAAACAGAGATTTTTCGGGAAATTATTGATAAATTGAAGGAAAATAATTATTTTAATTAGTTAGACACTTCAATAAATTTGGGAGATTAATGAAAAGTTCATCTAAATGTTTATTTAAATTTATAAAATTGGTTTTAGGCCTTGGAAGCTCAAGAATTAATTTTAGAGAATTTATTTTCCCGCAGTGACACCGATAGAGGTCTAATCAGAGAAAATTCAAAATAAATACCTAGAGGTGGTGAAAAATTCTAAAAAATTTCAGATCATATTCCCATATTAAAAGGTGAATTATCATGGAGAGAAATGAATTTTTGAGCTTTGGAAAAATTATGGAATGTTACTAGTGAATAGTAACTGATAAAGTTTCAAATTGGTTTGAGATAGTGATTTGGTTTGTTGGCCATCTTTTTAAGCCAACCCAAATCATTTGTGGGGCCCACAATGGACCCATTAAAGGCCCAATTTCGTGCACTTTCCAGATTCCATCATTTTTATTAAATAAAAAGTGAAAATCAAGGGAAAATGTTTGGAAAAATCTAGTGCAAGGCCACATGTTCAAATCTGATCATTCCCACACTTGATGGCTGCCACCTACACCCTTGAGGTGTCCCTTAATTTGGCCAAATCAGGAGGGAGAGGGCAGATGGATTTTTTTCTATAAATACCTCTTAGAAAATACATGAAAAATGTTCGAAAATTGGGGAAAAGAAGGGGAGA